TCTCACCTGCATTTGGAAGGCGATGTTCTGCCAGGTGTCGTTTTGGAAGCCGTAACCGTCCAATAAAAGGGTCAGGATGTAGTTGGCGCTGGCGCAGTAATTCTTCAGGTGGAAGGGCTTTTCGCGAGGGTAACTGGTGCTCAGCTGGGAGAAAGGGAATCTTAATGGAAATGGGCAGGATGCCTTTGGCGTATTGTCAGCCTCAAAAGTCTGAATAATCGGAGGGAAGGAAGGAAGGAAGGAAGGAAGGAAGGAAGGAAGGAAGGAAGGAAGGAAGGAAGGAAGGAAGGAAGGAAGGAAGGAAGGAAGGAAAGGAGGGACGGAGGGAAGGAGGGAAGGAGGGAGGGAGGAAGGAAGGAGGGAGGGAGGGAGGGGAGGAGGAGAGAGGGAGGGAGAGAGGAAAAGAAAGAAGGAAGGAATATACATACACATACACTCACATATACATACACACATATGAGAGGGGGGGGAGGGAGGGAGAGATGGACAGACAGACAAGTTGATTGGATGGATGGATGGGTAAATTGACTAGATAGACAGACAGGTGACAAACAGACAGATTAAGTGGATGGATGGATTTGAGTAGATAGAAAGAGATCTAAGATAGATAAGGCAGATGATACGATAGATAGATAGATAGATAGATAGATAGATAGATAGATAGATAGATAGATAGATAGATAGATAGATAGATAGATAGAGATAGATAGATAGATAGATAGATAGATAGATAGATAGATAGATAGATAGATAGATAGATAGATAAGTAGGTAGATAGGTAGGTAGGTAGATAGGTAGGTAGGTAGATGGACAGAGGGAGTGAGAGATAAAATACTTACATCTTTCCATGTTCTGGCACAGAAAATCTGGATGGCTCTCTCAACAGTGGCCAGTGGACTAGTGACTGTCAGGTTCAAAAAGTGGAAAGTGTAGTAATATGCAGAAAAGGCCTGGAAGATTTTAAAACAATACATAAACGTCCCAATGGAAATTCCTCACCATGTCTGCAACAGGGTGGAGATCTCATCTGAACTAGCTAAGCAGTCACGAGAGCCAAGCGGGAAGATAGCTAGACCAAGAACCCCAAATCTCTTTTGTTCCCCCTCCTGCCTCCCCCCCTCTTTTTTTTTTTTTTTTTTAAAGAGACTGGTACAAGGCGAGGCTGGCTCAAATCGCCTATTTCTTTGGCAAGCCCCAAAGCTTAGAGATTAGTAATGGGCTGGAGCAACAATTTAAAGATTTAATGATTTCCTACTTCCAGACTCCAAACCGGAGAGATATTCCTGCCTCTAATTTATGGAACGGATGCTCCAAACTAGAGGTAGTCCTTGACTTAGCGACGGTTCATTTAGTGACCATCGGAAGCTACAGCCGCACTGAAAAAAGTGACTGATGGCCATTTTTCACACTTTTCACACTTGCAGCCATCCCCATGATCAGGCGATCAAAATTCGGAACGCTTGGCAATTTGGCTCGTATTTATGATGGCCGCAGTGTCCCCGGGTCACGTGATCCCCTTTGCGTGGCCTTCTGACAACAAAGCCACATCACTCCACAACTGCATGACTAACTTCACAACTGCAGGGGGTTCGCTGAGCACCGGGGACAAGAAAGGTTGCAAAATGGTTTGTAAAACTTACTTCACAAAGGGTCTCGTTTTTGCAGCAGAAACCTTGGGCTGAAGTCAAGGGCTGTTCCCTGATCTCAGCGCGCGCCCCTAAACGCAGTTCCCTGATCCAGGAATTCGGGAATTTGTTAGCAAGACCTCTTACCAGAAACTTCCCGTTGACTCTCGGCTGGTAGGTCCCCTCAAAGCCGCAGGATGATGGGTCTCGACAGCCGGAGAAGTTGAAGATCGCTTTGAGCTTTTCCCGGCATAGCGTGACGTTCCCTTTGCCCACCAGAGTTACGTTCCCCGAAGATGCGGTTGGGGGGAGAGGCTTGGTACAGGGGTTGCTAGAGAGGGATGCCCTCTGTACTATTTCTTCGTAGCCTTTTGGGTAGCAGGGATGACCCACCTCAACGCCGGCAGGTCCATCCTGAAAGCGACACACACACACACAAATGGTCAGGCGCGAAAGATCCAGATCCA